AAAGATGATGAAGGGAGTGGAACATCTCCCTTATGAGGAAAGGCTGAGGGAGCTGGGTCTCTTTAGCTTGGAGAAGAGGAGACTGAGGGGCGACCTCATCAATGTTTACAAATATGTAAAGGGTGAGTGTCAGGGAGATGGAGTTAAGCTTTGTTCAGTGATGTTCAGTGATAGAACAAGGGGCAGTGGATGCAAACTGGAGCACAGGAGGTTCCACGTAAACATAAGAAAAAACTTCTTTACTGTGAGAGTGACAGAGCACTGGGACAGGCTGCCCAGAGAGGCTGTGGAGTCTCCTTCTTTGGAGACTTTCCAGACCTGTCTGGATGCCTTTCTGAGTGATCTGCCCTAGTTTTGGTCCTGCTCTGGCAGGGGGGTTGAACTGGATGATCTTCAGAGGTCCCTCCCAACCTCCAACATCCTGTGTTTCTGTGACTCTCTCGTTCGGTTCCCCAGAGCTGGCCTTGAACACAGCCCAGTTTGCAAAGAGCCTGGCCATGCTGGGGAGCTCAGAGGACAACACAGCCCTGTCCCGGGCTCTGTCCCAGCTGGCTGAGGTGGAAGAGAAGATCGAGCAGCTGCACCAGGAACAGGCTAACAATGACTTCTTCCTCCTGGCTGAGCTCCTGGGAGACTACATCCGCCTCCTCTCAGTTGTAAGGGTAAGGACTCCTCTGGGGCAAGCTCTGAGCTCTGCTGCTGGCCCTGGCAGCCATTTCAGGCTTAGGTGGGCCAGGAGGTAACTGGGCTTCGAAGTTCAAACACAGAGATCTGGGATGTCTGTGCCCATACTGGAGTGGTTAGGTTGGGTAGGTAAGACCTGGCTGTACTGCTCTTCTCCAGGGAGGGTGTGGAGCAGGTTCATGGCTCCTGAGTGTCCTCAGCCCTTCTGGAGGTGAAGGCTGTGGCTGCTTTGATTGGTAACCATGATCTGGGTGTTGCAATTAGATCTGCCAGGCACCTACTCGGGAAGAACTTGAGTCTTCAAGACCATGCAGCCTGTCTGGTGCACAGGCCATCTTGCTAGAGGTGGAGAGAATCCAGTCCCAAGTGGGCTGGAAGTCTGGCAGGCCCACTGGGGCTAACTGCCCCAAGTGTGTTCTGCCTCTGAGCAGTTGTTTCTGGAGGCCAGAATGCAGCTTTTTGAGTAGGAACAAGCCTCCTTGTGTCTGTACTGGAGGAAGTTCTGGGGTCTCCAGGGCAGGACCAAGATCTCTGGTAGGGCTGCAGGTAATAAGACTTATCTGGTTTGTTCTGGTAAGGATCCCTAGTGTTGCCTTCTGCTTGACCTGTCTCTTGGCTGCTCTCGTACTGACCACGCTGTCAGAAACTGCTTTCTGCTCTTCTAGCTCTTCTCCACCATCTGGCTGGACATCTTCAGAAGCCTAATGGGGTCTTCCTTGCTTGGGTTGGTGATGTACAGGCATGCTGAAATCATCTGTCCTCCGGGCAGGTGTCCATGAGCTGGTGCAGGAGCACACTGGGCAGCAGGAGCTTGTGGTGGAGGTCCAGGGTAGTACAGGCAAGGGCAGCTGCTTGCACTGGTGGCAGGAGTGAAACAGGCAGCAGAGCTCAGGGACAGACTTGGGATGCTGCCAGTTCCATGGGTGGCCTCAGGCACATCTAGGCTTGCACTGAACTGTCCACATAGCTGGGGCTTTCCCAGAGACTCTCCTGCCAAACACTGGAGCTGGTGGACAGCCCTGGATGGAGGGAGGCCACAAAGCTGCTTCTGAAGCGTGAACTGGTTGATGTTGCACTGGGCTCCTTCATTAGAAGAGCAGGTCCATGTTCTGGCTCAACTTTGATTACACCAAGAGGGGTCCAGGACCTCACTGAAGAAGCAGCTCTGTCAGTAGCTGATGTCCCCCTTGTCACTGTCAGCAGAGCTCGTGGCAGCAGCTTCTCATGTGGTAGCAGGGGCAGAGCAGAGCTCAGTCTCTTCCCCTTCCTTCCAGGGAGCCTTTGACCAGCGCATGAAGACCTGGCAGCGGTGGCAGGATGCCCAGGCCATGCTGCAGAAGAAGAGGGAGATGGAGGCCAGACTGCTGTGGGCCAACAAGCCTGACAAGCTGCAGCAGGCCAAGGAAGAGATCTCGGAGGTAGGGAATGAGGAGTGCTGGGGTCCCTGCTGAGCTCCTTCCCTCTGTCCTCTGCCAAGCAGTTAGGGGACCTCTGGAGGGGAGACCTTTGGAGAAACAGACCTTTCAATCCGAAGGAATGGCCCGGGATGAGCCAGCCTTGAAGGGACCCTGCAGGGAGACACAGAAGCTGCAGCAGTGCCTGCGTGTGGTCCCACCACCCATGGGGAGCTTGCAGCAGGCAGGGGGGGCAGCTTGTGGCAACCAGCACCAGAACTGCTGGGCTTTGGGCAAACAGTCGTGGCTAAAAAAAGCCTTTGGAGAGGGGAGGAAGAGCCTCTCCCCTTGCCCTGGGCACAGCCTGGCTCCCTCTCCCCGCAGTGGGAGGCGCGCGTGACGCAGTACGAGCGGGACTTCGAGCGGATTTCTGCCGTCATCCGCAAGGAGGTGACACGGTTTGAGGTACGTTTGGCCCCGGGAAAAACCCTCCAGCTGCTTGGTCTGGATGTGCCTTGGCTGAGAGCACCAGCCTGGGGTCACCTGGGCTCCTGCCCCTGCTCCCAGCACAGGGGTTGGGGCAGTATTTGGGAAGCAGGACACGCGGGAGCTGGAGCCTCGTGGTTGTGGGCAGAGCTGGTTCCCTTGGCCTCTACACAGGGAACCTTTGACACGGGGGGGGTGGGCACAGATCCTTGGGGCCACCAGGCAAGCGTCAGCATCTCAGACTCCTCTGCTGGTCTCCTTGTGGGGCCCCAGGAGGAACAGAAAAATCCTGGTGGTTTCTCTTCTCCCCCTGATAAGCTGGGGGGTTGTGGTGGCTCCTCCAGCCCTGTGCTCACTCTCTTGCAGAGAGAGAAATCCAAGGACTTCAGACACCACGTCACCAAGTACCTGGAGACGTTACTAAACTCTCAGCAGCAGGTGAGTGGCCCCAGCCCCTGCTGGGGGGGCCGTTGAAGCTCAGCCCTGCGAGCTTGTGCCCTGCTGGAGCCCCAACCCCACCCTGGGGAGGGACGAACCCCCAGGGTCTCGAGCGGAGCAGAGCAAAACCCGGGTGCCTGTTCTGGGGGCTGTGCCCTGCAGGGGGGGCTTCTCCCCCCATCCCTACAAACCTCAAATGTTTCTCAGCTTGCTCTGGGGTTGAACTGCAAACTCCTGACTCTCTCCCTCCTCTCTGCAGCTGGTGAAGTACTGGGAAGCA